TTTTCTAATTATTATACTATATTTATTCTATTAGATATTGATATTATTTATAGTTTTTATAGTAAATACGCGATTTTGCGAGAATTTTAAAATTTTAAAGGTATTTCTCTTAATTTGTTAGTTCTTTATATATAACCCTAAGATTAGTATTTCTACTTCTAATATTAAAGATTGGGTTTGAATTTCGATTCCGGATGAGGCTATCTCTTTATTACTATTTAGAATTAGTGTTAGCGGGCCGTTCCGTCTAGCCGCGTCTTTTATTTAAAGTCTAATATTTTCGTTCTTAAGGTAAGGATATCCAAAAACTTCTACCCTAGAAATTTGGATTAATAATATATTATAATTAATTATATATATCCGGATTTTATTAATTAATTTATTTATTTATTCTTGTCCGTAGGCGTTGGAGGCCTATAAAGTATTTATATTTATTAGGTTTTTAGCGAGTGCTTGTCGATACTTCTTCGTTGTTGTTTTATTTCTTAATTATTAATACTTGGCTATACGCAAGGCGAAGTCGGTCGGGGTGTATACTTCTAATAGTTCGTTCTTCTTCGTAGGGTCTTCGAAGTTGGGTTTCGGAATTTTCGCTAGGTTCCCTCCCGTTCTGATCTCGTCAAGTATTTTTATAAAGTATAATCTGATTGTTTTTAATTTCCTCTCAATATTTGCTAATGCCGATTTGTTCGGAAGAAAACTTTATATTAATAAGGATAGCAGTATTCTTTTTAATTTCAGATTAATATTTGTAAGGGGGACAGTAGAGTATTGCACAAATACTGCGCCTAAGTAATTAATAAGGTTCTATAAAGAGGAAAGGGAGAAAGGTTTGTAAGTGGAGCTTATAGCGGTAGCCTTTTAAGGGGGTTGTAGGTATATAACTAGCGCTATAGCAGCGTAGTACTATTGTAAGCTACGGAGCGAGCTATAGTAGTAATCGGGCTATAGAGCCCGATATAGACCTCTAAATAATAGTCCTATAATATTAGCCCCCTCCTCCCCGTACTATCTCCCCAGCGTAAGTATTAACGTTATATTATATATAGGTAGTTGCATACCTTCCATCTCTATACAACTCTCCCGTCCAATTATTATCTCTACCTACCTTAACCCTAGGATAACCTTTTTACGCGCCCGGCCTTCCCCTAGCTTCCTTTCTCTTCTTTCTACTTCGTACTTTTTTTTTAATTCCCTTCTATTCTTTCCCCCTCCTCTCTTTCCTTCTTCCTCTTTTCTAACCACCTCGCTAAATTTAATTATATTATAAAATTATATATACCTTTAATTATTATAGTAAATTTACCGCTGCTATTTTATAACCTAGATTCTAATTCGTATATAGATTTTACAATAGTTTTTTCGAATAATCTATAGTACGAGTAGTTCCTTACTTAGTAATGCTCGTAGTAGTAGTAATCTTTAATTCCCCCTTCCTAGCCTTCTATTCTAGCGACTCTTACTCCGGCTATTCTTACGCCGGCCGCCGTTACGCCGCCTCCTTAATTCGTTATTTCTATTAGCATTTAAATCTTTAGCAATCCTATTACTACGCCTCCCTTTCCGCCTACTAGTACCTAGCCTAACTACGCTCCTACGTACGGCTAGTACTCTAATTACTTCTATTTACTTTAATTATAATATAGTTATTATTATAGCTCTTACTAGTACCCGCTCTTATAATACGGTCTTAGCCCCTTCGTTACATCGCCTAGTTAAATTCCCACTTCTATTCCTACGCTTATTTCCGCTCCTACCCCTATTGTAGCGCTTATTAAATTTACTCCCGCTACTCCTCGTACCCCAATTCCTATTCCTATTATTACTCCCGCTATTACACTTATCGCTACTCTTATTTCTACTCTTATTATTCCGCTAATTATAATTTCTATTAAGGAGGACGATAAGGAGGAGCTCTTTAAGAGCCCTTTTATTCGCTAAAGTAAAATTAAAATTCGGGCTACAAAGGCTAATCTTATAATTAAGTATTATAGTATTCTACCCTCTATTTATACGAATATATAGAAGAAGATAAACTATATTTAGAATTTTACTACGGCCGAGAAGTACAGCCCCGACGCTTCCTAATACTAGCCTTACCTCTTTTACAACTATAAGTATATAAGCGCGGACTTTAATATAGGTACGAAGTATATTCTATATAAGGTAGAGTTTAGTAAGGCTTATCTCCCGATTCTTAATATAGCTTAGATTTGTTACAACACTAGAAGCTACGACACCGAAGCCTTGGCGTTCCTCTACCGCAGTACTATAAATCCGAGTTATACCCTTAGCCCCTGTCTCCACCCTATAATGTATATAGTTTGAGAGTAGAGTTTTCGCTACTCTCTTTTAATCTTTCCCCCTTTGTATAATAATATATCTTTTCTAAAGTCCTTATTAGTCGGCATTGTAATAATTTATTATACTTTTTCTTTTACGGTTATTAAGCCCGACAATGCCTTATTGTTTTACTTTCAACTAAACTTAGAATTGGTACTAATTCCGAGCCTTCCCTAATCCGAAACCTTATATATTACCTAGCTACCCTATATATTACCCTAACTATAAATCCTATCTCTAATACTTCGTCTTATATATTTACGCTAGATTCTAGTACGGGAACCCTATATAATACCCTAACCTACAACCTCTTTCCCAAAGGAGAATGGCCGTATATTTATATAATTATTCTTTTTATTAAGAACGATTTATCCGGCCTCGTTTCAATAATAGAACGGGATTTAAATTTACTTTCCTAATTCTAATTCTACTTTAAGGTTATCGAAACCTAATTTTCGAACGCCTACATACGCGTCCTTGAATTTTAATAATAAATTGAGGCGGTTAATAATTAAATTTTATAGGCCTAGTAGTAAACTTCGGAAATTAAAGTTTAAGTACAATAACGAATTATTAAAGTTATAGTATAAGTACGGGATTAGGCTGCTTAAGCTACTACTTAAATATAATAGTTCTATTATATTCCTATTACGACCCCCGCCTAAATAGTACCCTACCGGCCGCGAAGTACTGAACCCCCCGTCTTCTTGGGCGTTGAAACTTCCTTTATTAAATAATAAGAGGAATATATTAATTAAAAATTGTTTATTTATATTAAATTTACACTTAATAATATAATTTACCCTATTCCAGCCGATTATATCCTTTATATTTTTTAATACTTATTTAGCGATATTTATACCCGAATACAGTTTAAAGTCAATATTATTATATTAGTTCCCTTCGACCCTTCTATTTAGCCTTTAGGCCTCTCCGATTTCTAGAACCTCTTTAAATAGTTCGACCCTTATTATATTACCTTCGACGTTTATACCAAAGTAGTATAGGAAATAGACTATTTTAAATAGGGCGGTTTTACTTTCGCCGATTTTATTATGAAGTTTATTAAATTAGTAGACCTTTACGAATTTAATAAATAGTAGAGGGTCGATACTTTTAAAGCGAAGGTTAACTGGGAGTTTTAGGACGCCCTAATTAATATTATTATATATTTAACTCCTATAAATTTCGATGTATAAGTAATACTCTTATGTAAATTTACGAATAATATTTCTAATAGATTGTATTAGGGCCGAAATAGTACTACTATATCTTTATTTTAGTCCGGATATTCTAATGATATAGGCGACCCTATAGTCCTTAGTAAAGTTTAAATACTTTCTATTAAAAAAGGCCCTTTTATTTAGGCTGAGAAAAACCGCCGGATAAAGAATGATTTCTATTTATATTATAGTAGCGTAGGCTATTATATAATAACTTATACTACAAAGGGAAAAAAACCGGCTGGCTTCGTTGCTATTTTTATACTAATTGAAGTAGAGGCAGGAAAAGCCTAACTTTTAATAAAAAACGCTATTAAAAGAAAAAAATAAGGGAATTTAATAATTTATATCTATATTCTATAGGCTTTAATACTAATTTTTTATACTTTAGCCTTTTAAGGACTAACTATTTAGTGCTTATCCTTTATTCGGTTATAATCGATTTTAAATACTCGCCTATAAACTTTATTAATTCTACTTTTGCGTAAAAATACAATTTTCCTATTATATTATTATTTTACCCCTATACTTTAAAATTTATAAACGGCCAGAAGGACGGAAAAATCTTTAAATATTATATTATCTCCCTAAATATTAAATCCTTTATAAATTAATTAACTCTCTATATTTGGCCGCTCGGCGGCCCTAATATTATTTTAGGGCTACTGTAGTTGCAAAAATATAACCTTACAATCGATTAAATTAAAAGTATTTTAAAATTACCGAGCGTTATAATAATTAAAATCCCGCTGCCCCCCCCCTTAAATTAATATTATTATACTACTATCCCCCCTTAATTACCTAATCTAACCTTAAAAACTTATATTCTATAACCGTTTTAAACCGACGTTAAAACCTTTAAAATAGTATTATTATACCCCCCCCTTTATTAGAAAATTATACGCCGGCGGCTATTCGTAGCTTAAGGATAATATTATTTACCTATTCTCTATCCTTAATTTTTTATTTGCATACGAAGAGCCCAGTATAAAAGTCTATTCTTTTACCCTAGTACAATTTTACCATTTTATAGAAGACCCTAAACTATATACCGTCCTACAATTTACTAACCCCGCTACCGACCTAAATTAAACGTTATATAACTTTAATAATACTATATTCTATATTGTCCTCAAAGGGAGGCTAATTGAAATACCCTTCCCTAATACTATTACGGACTATAAAAATTGGGTCGCTGAAAAGCTATAACTCCGGCGGGTCTTTATTAAAAATATTTAAAAGTATTTTAATAGGAAACCGCTACCGATTCGCTAGGAAATTTTAAATACTTTATTTAATTACTTCCGGCCGCTTTAGGGCGCTTTTAATCTAATTATTACAATTATAAAACCCCTCCACCGGCCCTTCAATTATAAAATCGATTTAATCCCTGGTTAGAACCCCCTGTACTACTACTTACGCCCTATATTTTAGGAGGAATTATATATTATTCGGAAGTACTTAGATAACTATTTAATAAATAGGTTTATACGCCCGAACTCTTCCCCTATAGTAGCCCTAATTTTATTAGTTAAAAAACCGGGCGGTGGTATTTATATTAATATTAATTACCGGGGTTTAAATAATATTATAGTTAAAAATAAATATTTAATCTTACTAATCCGGAAAACGATTAATACCCTTAAGAAAGCGAAGTAATTTAATAAATTTAATATTATAGTAGCGTTTAATTAGCTCCGAATCGCCCCGGGTAATAAGTGAAAAACGGTTTTTATTACTAGGTTCGGCCTTTTTAAATACTTTATTATTAATTTCTATATAATTGGAGCGTTTACCTCCTTTTAGTATTATATTAATTATATATTTTTTAACATTTTAAATAAGTTTATTACTATTTATTTAAATAATATATTTATCTTTAGTAAAATAAAGGCGGTTTATAAATAATATTTAAAAAAAGTAGTTTAGTATTTTAAGAAAATAGGCTTTACTATTAATATTCGGAAGTATAAATTCTATAAATATAAAATAAAATATTTAGGCCTTATTATTTTTAGAAAAGGCTTTTATATAAACCCTAAGAAGGTTAATTTAGTTTTTAATTAGGGTATTCCTAAAATATTTAAAGACTTCTAGCATTTTATTAGGTTTACTAACTTCTACTAACAATTTATTAAAGGGTTTTCCAAAATAGTCTAACCCCTAATAATATTAATATCTTAGGATAAATAAATTTCCTCTATACTTTAGAACGCTATTACGGTTTTTAAACGGTTAAAGAACGCTTTTATAATAGTACCGGTATTATTTTATTATTACTTTAAAAGAAAAACAATTATTAAAATCGATATATCAAATTAAGTATTAGGGGGCGTCCTATTTTAAATCGATAAGGAGGAATAATAGTACCCTATTACCTTTTTTTTATTAAAATATTTACTTACTGAATATAATTATAAAATTTATAATAAAGAATTCTTTAATATTATTAAAGTATTTAAAGAATAATATTCCAGATTATAGGGTATTAAGGATCTAATTAAAATAGTTATAGACTATAAAGGCTTTTAGTACTTTATTTCTACGAAGTTATTTAATTAATATTAAATTTAGTAATTCGAATTCTTTAGTAACTTTTACTTCTAAATTATTTACTGTCCTAGGTCCTATACTACTATACCTAATATACTATTCCGCTTATTTAGTAATATACCGGCGGATAAATAGAATATAAATAATGACCGTATTATAAATAAAATACGAATATTCCTATTACCTAAAAATTAGGGCCCACCGCTAGCTAAACTACTAATACAACTCTCCGTTCTAAATACGGAATCTCCTATTAATAATTATATTAATATTATTTATTGGGCGTCCTTAGAGGCGTTAGTAGTTATTACAATCCTCTAAAACCCTAAGTATAAAGCGTTCCTCCAGCATTTTAGGACTATTATTAGCGCAGCTATAGCCGATTGTAGTATCTTCTACGGATATATCTATATTAATAGGCGGACGTTTATTCCTTTACTTCCGGAAACTAAATTCTAAATTATCTACCGTACGTACAATTTAGTACCCGGAGGCTACTCCGGCCGTTTTAAAACCTATAATTTAATTAAATAATTGTACATATAATTTAACTTTTTCTATAATATAATTACCTTTGTCCGGAGTTGCTATTTATATATACGAATTAAGAATTTGAAATTGTCCCTCCCTAGCCTCCTCGAACTGCTTTCGATTGACTTTTATTTTTAAGCCGATATTTTAATAGATTTTATAAGTCCCTTCCTAGAAGTAAAAATTAATAATTATATTTATTTATATATTATAAATTATTAACCAGCTAACGAAAATATATCACTATATTCCCGTTTATAATTGAATAGTCCGAACTACTGTT